AGAAGAATTCATACATGGTTTTTTAAAAAATAAAATTAGAGAACCATCTACACTAAAACAAGAGAGTTTTGAATAATACATAAAGATTATAAGGAAAAGCAAGGGGATAATTAGACCAGAATTCAGTCTACAGATTACTTCTGGGACTGAGGCATAAAAGGGATGCAATTTGGGAGCAAGAACACTGGGGAGTTCTATAGTGTCGCTAATATTCTATTTCTTCATCTGATGCCAACAGGAATGTTCATTTCATTTTTCTTTTAACTGATCATAGATAAATCTATAGGCTATTTTGTATGTGTGACGTGATTCTCAATAAAACATCTAAATACACGTTTCCTAACTGTTGTTTTAGAATGTAAGAAGTTTTTCAGAATCTGGGTTATCAAAGGATATAAATGCTTAAAAAATCCTATTTAACACAAGAAGTATATTTAAGTGGAAAGTTTAAGGTTGTATTTGAAATAACCAATCCATTCTCTTTATTAGTTTGGCAGGTATTTTGTATCCTTAACCTATTTCAGAATCTTTTAAAATGTAAAAGGTAACATGGATATATATTATAAGCCATGTTATACCATTATTTTGTCACAAGAGGGACTAGATAGTCAGAAAGTAGTTTTCCCCTTTGGTCTTAGGAATATTTCACTGTCTTAACATTTATGTTTTACACAATGTTTATTCCTATAAGGGTATGTGTTACAGAGTATAGGACTGTGATATATATTTCATATCAGCAAAATCATACTTAAGATAAGTACTAGTATGCCATTTTACTTCTAAATGGATGGAGACTGCATAGAAATTATTTAACTTACAGAGCTATGGTCTTTTTTTTTTTTAATTTAACTGCTTTACAGGAATAATTGTTTTCATTTTGTATTAGTGCTAAAAATTTTAAATACTGAATGGCTTTTCACATGTATCTGTTTACTTATTTTTCTTATTTGATTTCAAGATACATGTGAGCATTTGAAACCAGTCCCAAATTTTAGAAAATGAATCAAAGTAATTATGGATCTATGGTTAGGACAAAAACGTTCATATTCAAGTGACCAGTGTTTTTCAAACTCTGCTCTAAGCACTCTTAAGTGTTTCTGGAAGCTCTTACAAAGTCCACAATATAGGAGAAGGTGGGACACTTCTTTACACGGACGGCTCTTCACTAAACATTTTAGGTACTGAACTCTTTTATAAAGCTTTTATTTGTAGACATAGTAAACTACAAATAGTTTTAAAACCAGTGGACAGGATTGATAGGAAATAATAGTAGAATCGGTTAAAATGTGTAGAATGATTTCAGGTGTGTTACCTCATTAGCTTTTATCAGGTAATGTATGTCTTATTCACCACTGTATCCCCAGTACAGAGAAAAAATATCAATGATTGTGCATAAAGCAATCAAATTTACTTAAGGAATAAGTGTTAAACTGGTCTGAAAGATAGGCAGAGCAGGTATTAGCTAAATCTCATCAAAAAAGAAAGAGAAGATCAGAATGACAACGGTCCTACAAACGCTTACAGTAGAAGAATCAGGTAGAATCTGTCTTTCATATCCTGGTTCTAATCAAATTTTGGGGGAAGAATGGAAGGAAGGAACATAAAACGAGGGAAGAAGGAAGGAAAAAAGAATTTATTTTGCTTTCCACCACTACAGCTGCCTCTGAGTTGCTTGAGCAAAAAAGATCAATAGTAGAAAAGAAAGAAAAAATGCTGTTTTCATTTATTTTACCTTTATTTTTGAAAAAATGCATTGGTACTCTTTTTTTATTTACATTCAATTAGCCAAGATGTAGTACCTCATTAGTTTTCCTTAGTACTCTTAACCAGTAAATGTTCTGTTCTAATTTATAATGATGCATGAGACCATCATACTTTCCTCTTAAAAAGCAGAAGTGTGACTTTTCCTGCCACCATCCAACCCGCAGGTGCTTTGGGAGGTTAGTTCACATGTGTGGCACTACTCTCTTTCCCAGCTGCCATTTCCTTCCCCTTCTCACCAGTCCTTTAAACACCCAAAGGGGTTGGTTTCTCACTTCCTCTTCTTAATTGTCTGGAACTTCTCCTGAGCACTCTCCTCCACCCTGAGACGGCTTCTATCTTACCCTTTTCCTGGACTTATGATGGAGGTAGTCAGTATAGGAATTGAAAGGTTCAAGGAATAAAAAATCCTATCAAGTCTGATTTTTTAAAAATATATATCAATAATGTTACCCTCAGACATAAGCTCTAAATTACACAGATATATTCATATGTTATTGCTATGGTAATAAATTACCTTAAGCTTCTGGACTTAGAACAACACAAATTTATTGTCTCACAATTCTATAGGCTGGACGTCCAATATAACCTCAGCAGTCACCATATACCAATCTACACAACTTTTCTCCTTTCCAGTTAGCCATGTGATTGATTGTTAGGCACTGTGTAGCCTCTAAAATTGTCCCTGCTAGCTGCTCTGTGCTTTCTTTTGCCTGATCTGCCAGCTAGCTATGGAAGAAGTCAAGAGGTCACTGGGCTGCTCTCCTTGGAGGTTCTAGAGGAGAATTCATTTCCTACTCATTCTGGTTGTTGGAAGACTTCAGTCTGTTTTGGTTATAGGACAGAATTCCATCTGTTTTGGTTCTCTTTTGAGAACTTCTAGCAGTCACAGCATTCCTTTTTTTTTTTTTTTTTTTTTTAAGATTTATTTATTTGAGAGCGAGAGCATATACAAGAAGAGGGGAAGGGGCCGAAGGAAAGGGAGAGAGAGAATTCTCAGGCAACTGCCTACTGAGGGCAGAGCAGACACAGGGACCCTGAGATCATGACCTGAGCAGAAATCAAGAGTCAGAGGCCCAAATGACTGCGCCACCAGGCGCCCCTACCATTCCTCTGTTCTTGATTCTTTCCTTCATCCTCAAGGCCGGGGGTGGTGGGGTAAGTCCTTCTCAGAGTGCAGCTCTCTGACCAACCCACTCTTCTTCAGTCATCTTCCACTGTTACAGAGACTGGACTAGATTGGACCTACCTAGACAACCCAAGATAATCTTTTCATCTCAAGGTCCTTTTTAATTCTATCGGTAAAGTCTCTTTTGCTGTGTAAGGTGACATACTTGTGAATTCTGTGGATTATGGTGTGGACATCCTTGAGGAGACCTTATTCTTACTACCACAAAGGAAATAACTGTTTAAAATCAAAGTCTATAAATTGTATGAATAAAAATAAAAAATATGAGGTTTTTTTCTTTTTCCAATAATAATTATTTATAATTACATCAGCATAGTTAAGCACTGGTGATATACATATTTCCTATGTCTCATCAACATTTATTTTACACTAATTTTACTAATCCCCTTTGATTATCAAGCTGAAAAATATGTAGTCCATATCGTGTGCAAAAATCCAGAAGTACGAATGATGAACCTCACTGAAGAGGGTATGTTTTTCAGAAATGTGAAGAGTAGGGGTGCCTGGGTGGCTCACTGGGTTAAGCCTCTGCCTTCGGCTCAGGTCATGATCTTGGGCTCCTGGGATCGAGGCCCGCATCCAGCTCTCTGCTCATCAGGGAGCCTGCTTCCTCCTCTCTCTCTCTGCCTGCCTCTCTGTCTACTTGTGATCTCTCTCTGTCAAATAAATAAATTTAAAAAAATTTAAAAAAAAAAGAAATGTGAAGAGTAGCAGAGGTATGACTAAGTTAAGGATAAACACTAAATATTTTTTTTTCTGGATTTTCCTCTATTGAGCAAACTGTTGTTTAGCAGACAGCCTTTTAAAATCATATATATGGTGCTATCTGCATTGACTTGCAAAACCAAGAGCCAGCCTGTAAAGGCAGATGGATGTGAATCGACAGAAAAGAACGCTGAATTAGGTAAAAACAAACAAACAAACAAATAAAAAACATAACATGGCCCTGTGCCTGGTTCCTACAGTATCATTGAGGGATAAGTTCCAAATCAGGTTCTTGCCTATTTTTATCATCATTGTCTACACAGTACTAAGCACAGTGCCTGGCATATATAAAGCATTAAGTAAATATTAATAACCATCAAATTTATTAGTTTGATTACAGTCAAGCTGTGTTTATGGAATGTTCTATGTATAAGATACAGTAATAAAAATATTCCATGTTTCCGTTATTCTCTATATTTCTCAGAGCTTTTAAATCAATTATTTACCTAATAGTGATATGAGGAACACTGATTAGACCTGGTAGTTAAGGTAAAAACTTGGTGTCAGTAAAAATGAGAGATTTTTTTCCCCTCTACTTATTTACATTAAATCATTACTCATCTGAGAGTACTAGGATTTTGACTTGGTAGAATGAAGGGATGGCAAGAGCAAATCAAATTAATATGTTTCTTCTTTCTAAAGGGAGATTTTACAAACCATAAAGCTAGAAATCATCTGATCTTAATAATGAAACTAATTTTTTCCAAACAATATTTGACACAGAGAATATGTGACAGACATAGACCATTGTGTACAAAGCTTCCCTGGCTAAAATCCAAGTGAATACATGAGAAGCACACGTAGTCCACAGTCAGTTTTGGTATCAGCACTCGCTCCTCCCCCACCACCATTCTTGCCTGGAAGAGCCATTCTGAGTCAGAGATTGGGGAAAAAAAACTGACCTAGTGTAGTTGTTATCCATTAACAGAGGAATACACCAACATTTGAAGAGAGAAAGGGACTTACACAAGCTAAACACTTAACAGATTGGTATGCTAATAAGACCCCACTTTTCATCTGCACTGTTGGGTTTTGGATAAGTAACTTAATTTCTCAAAGCTTCAGATTCCTCGGATATAAAAATGGAGGCAGTTAGACCCACTTGACTGATATCCAAAGAATAAGAGATACTGTCTGGCACATAGTGGGTGGTAGTGAATGATAACTATCATGTGTATTCCAACTCCCAAAGAAAACCCCCAGATCTGCAAGAAATAAAAGAGCAAAACTCATTAATTGATAACTTGGAGTTTAGCTTAAAAATAATCTCCTTGGTTTGTTTCAGGAAAGTAGTAGATCATCCAAAGAGACGATTCGGTATTCCTGTGGATCGGATTGGTGGAAACCGTCTCTCAAATTCCAGAGGCTAATTGATTCTAACCATGAGTACAATTCAGGTATGTAACAGTATATGCAAGCTTCTGATTAACATTTCACAATGAGTTCATTGATCCATCTTGATTTATAAATTGCCCTTTTAATTTCCTAGCTTATAAATTCACTGTTTCAACTTTTCTGTACTCAATTAGTATATTGATGCAAGTAACTTAAATGACATTTAAAAAGCAAAGGAATGTCCTAGATCTACTTCACCATTAAAAAGAAGATTCAATTATCCCCACAGATTCTTATATAATTAGGGGATACTAATATATGAACAATGTTTAAAATTCTAACTGACGTATTAATCACCTTCGTACATGTACATAACTGTGTAGTAACCCCTCTATTATAAGGAAGACACATTTCAGTGACACACACCATTTTGTTGCCAAAACTACATTCCCAAATTTATGATAACACAGAACACAGGAGAGAGAATGGGGTAGCAAGAAGAGTTTTGGTCATGGAATCATAACACCTACTCCAAACCCTGGCTCTGTCACTCATTTGTTCATTATCTTGTTTCCATATCTTATTTCTCTACATCTTGTTCATTTAAATAGTAACTTATTAGTATTGTGAGAATTAAATTAGATGTGTGTTGGGCACACAGGACATGCCAATAATCTTAGATTTATAGTTCTGAAAATTTACTCTGTGCTGGGCCCTATACTTTGTGCTATGTACATACTGCTTCATTTAATCATCCTTTTCCCTAAAGTAGGTCCTGTTGCTGTCTCCAGTATCTTGAGAAGTAGTGCAGTGTAAGGGGTAAAAGTGACAGCTGGAGAGGCCAGTGTTGTGGGTCAAATCCCGGTTGTTCTACCTGTTAGCTGTGGGACCTTGGTTAAATTCTAAAATTCCCCTCCATAAATGGAGGATAATAACGAAGTTCCATCACACTACATTGTCCAGAGAACTAAATGCATTGATACATATTAAACATTTAGAATAGTGTCTGACATGTAAATATTCAATAATCATCATTATTATTATACTATATTATATAATATTAGTATTATACAATAATAGCGTAGATATATTAACTCACAATGCCATAGAGCTAGTGACATAAGTAGCATTTAAATCCAGAAAGGTCAAATTCTGAGTTTATATTTTCAAAAGTATATTTAGCCATACATAGTATATATTTTAGATTTTTTTTTTTTTATTTGTCACAGAGAGAGATCACAAGTAGGCAGAGAGGCAGGCAGAGAGAGAGGGGGAAGCAGGCTCCCCGCTGAGCAGAGAGCCAGATGCGGGGCTCAATCCCAGGACCCTGGGATCATGACCTGAGCCAAAGACAGAGGCTTAACCCACTGAGCCACCCAGGTGGCCCCATATTATATATTTTAAACGTGAAATGTTAAACATAAAATCTAGGCAATGTATTTTTTCTCAGTAAAGCTTACAAGAGGATGCACCCTCCATCCCAGGCAGATGAGACAAACTGGAACTGTTTTGACAGTTTCAAGCATGACTTTCATGCTTTTTATTTCTCTCAGGATGATCCTTTGACCAAGAATGCAGAGTCCCCCAAAACATCACATTAACCCTGAACCTCTCAGTTTAAGTCATGCCTGTTTGTTCTCTTCATCAAATGCCCTAAACCACAGTGAGAAGTGAATATTTTACTTCAACTTTCTTATTCTCAGAATGACTTAGTTAAAAGAATTTTTTTTTTCACCATGGAGCTTTTGATCAATGAAGTTATGAAGTTACTGAATGTCCACAGATATAAGAGGACTTACTTAGTATGTGAAGAACAATGTATTTTGAGCAGTACCATCTTCAAAATGCAGATTGAACTTTCTTTTTGTCTAGAGATATACCAAGTATGGTTACTCTTCAGTATTGTTAAAAATCACCACATTATATTTGAGTAGGATCTAATTAATTGCTATTAAAAACTGAGTTACTCCTTGAAATCAGGATCACAATCCTCCAGTTTCTTTCTTTTTTTTTTTTTTTTAAAGATTTTGTTTATTTGACAGACAGATAACAAGTAGGCAGAGGGGCAGGCAGAGAGAGAGGGGGAAGCAGGCTCCCCACTGAGCAGAGAGCCCGATGTGGGGCTCCATCCCAGGACCCTGGGATCATGACCTGAGCTGAAGGCAGAGGCTTTAAACCACTGAGCCACCCAGGTGCCCCTCATTTACATTTTCATATGAAGTTTCAGACCATGTAAACTCCTGATAGCCACTGAACTATGGCAAGGTATTTGAATTAATATAAAGTCTCCTGAATCACTATGGGTGAAATCCAAACTCATATATTATATCCTTCATCTAATAGGCTTTGGTAAGTATGATGACAACCACTGTTTTTATTACTGAAGTTTCAAGATAGTTATATCACAACATAATAGATTTAGAATAAAATCTAACATCATGTATTTTTTCTTTCCCTTTGTCAATCATTGCAGGGGCACCCATCAACCATTAGGTTTCTAGTCATTATTTCCTACCACTGTCACCAAGGTTTTTCAGATGCTTTCTTACTTTCTCATGTGAAGTTTTAGGTTTTCAGTTTATGAATAATAAAAAAATAAAAATAAATATCTCTAATTTCCATTTAACTTCTCAAAATCATTTTCTGGTACACTGTTTCTTATTCTTTTTTTTTTTTTTTTTTTTTTTTTTTTTTTTTTTTTTAAGAGAGAGACAGTGAGAGAGAGCATGAGCGAGGAGAAGGTCAGAGGGAAAAGCAGACTCCCCGTGGAGCTGGGAGCCTGATGCGGGACTCGATCCCAGGACTCCAGGATCATGACCTGAGCTGAAGGCAGTCGCTTAACCAACTGAGCCACCCAGGCGCCCCTGTTTCTTATTCTTAATGACTGATTAAATCACTAAGAGATTCAAAAACATAGTCTCATTTAATCCTACCCTTTTGTTTTGTTTTGTTTTTTAATAAATGAGGACACTGGGTCTGTGAGTGGAAAACAATTTGCTCAAAATTTTACACTCTCAGACAGGCAAGATCCAGAGCCCAGGTCTCTGGACTTCTAAGCCAGCATTCTCTTCATGACCTAGAAGGTCTTCAGGAGGTTAAGTTGTCATTGCTGGATGCCAACTTCTCTGCTTACACATTTCTAAAACAAACAGAAGCGGTGTGTCAGACTTTGTGAAAATCTTTGTTCCACTTTTTTGGGAGTTAATGTATACTCTTTTAAAGAAGGTTTATTTGTGGGTTTTCACCTTCTGGGTTTCACAAGTCTTCACCCTAAAAGTGAAACTGGTTCTAATCATGGAAGTTTTGTGTGGTTTGAGTTTAGATGTAGATACAGCTGCTGTATGTTACCTAGTTTTCAGAACAAATGTTAACCTCTTCCCAATATGTGTTTTGGAAAAGAAGATAACCTGGTATTTACAACAATGTCTTCCTCAAATCATTAACGTATTTGACCACAATTTTGAGTTTTTTTATAGGTGTCAGCTCTAAGCAACTCAAATTCAGAGAGGGATTTTGTCTAAGATTTTGCAGCTTGTCTAAATGCGGTTAACAAGTTCTAAGTCTCTACAACTGAAAACAGGATACCTTCATGATGAAATTGGGTAGAAATAGGACTACTAATTATGCTACCTCTTGGGGCCACATGCGCTAAGATTTTTAATAATACAAGGCACATGTTGGATGTATTATATTGACAATTTTTTAAATTTTAGACCAATATTGACACACTATCATTCAAACATATTAACAGAACTCTTGAAGAGCAGAAAAAAATTATGTTTAAATGCCAGCATTATGCTTGGTCCCTTTAAGGAGAGCAAAATATACAAAATTATCAATGTGTTATAGCAATAAACAAAGTAATAGTTAGATTTTCTTTATTTCCTTTTTATGTCATGGCAACATCCTTGAACCAAGATTTAAAACTGAAAAAAATAGAATATAGCAGGTACCCAAAGAAAGGAACCATGGCTTGAGAATAGGGAACGGCTTATCCATTGAAGATGTTCTTTTTAATGTGTTTTGATCTGAAATGATCACTTTGCATTATTGTCTTTGCAATTAAAATATGTCCCAGGAGGGGCACCTGGGTGGCTCAGTGGGTTAAAGCCTCTGCCTTCGGCTCAGGTCATGGTCCTAGTGTCCTGGGATCGAGCCCCACATCGGGCTCTGTACTCTGCAGGGAGCCTGCTTCCACCTCTCTCTATCTGTCTGCTTCTCTGCCTACTTGTGATCTCTGTCTGTCAAATAGATAAATAAAATCTTTAAAAAAAAAAAAAAAATATGTCCCAGGAAAAAGTCTATAATGAAACATCATGTAGAGTTTCAACTCTTCTCAACTGAAGTTGATGGTATTCCCCTTATCTATGGAGTTTTCTGTAGCTGTAACAATTTCAACTTTCCTTTTTACAGACACAACTTCTCCGGTGAAATGTCACAGAAACATGGAAGATGCTTCAGTGAAGTTCTTTACACTCAGTAATGATTCAACATTCAAGGAACTGGCCTTCTGCAAATCCTTTCCACAGTTTGAACTTCAGTCCATCACATCACAGTATTGTTATAACTTCAATTAAATTATGCAGACCACTTCAATGCATGGATATTTTTTTAAATATATATTTTAGTTAATGGGAATGGTTCCCTAGCTCCAAACCTTGCTTTTCTAAGAAACAGTCAAAACACACTATACATGAAATGCTTTCTATATGCATTTACCATTTACATTTATGCAGCTGAAGAATAATAACTGAAGACTGATTTTTTTTTCTGTACAACTTAGGTACAGTCTGTTTGCTCATTACTGAGAGACGAGGAAAGACAATGCTGTATATGTTCTCTTAAATATTTGATTTCTTTTGTATACTTTGTGAGCCTCTTGGGTAATGATTATGAAATTAGGCTTGTCTTAGCATATTCACATTTCAGTGAGGTTCAGCCACATAAAACATAGCCCCAGTTCTAGAAATAAAAGAAGAATGATTTATAAGTATGGGATAAAAAAAAAAACAGCTAGTAATTAAACCCATCAATGTTATTCTTCCAAAGAATTGAGAAAATACTTGTAGGTCAGAGCATAGTGACAGAATTAGGAAGTGAAGGATATCATTTATTTGTCAAGTTTGGAGATCTCATGTCCTCTAACAACTGTTCTTTTCTCTAAATTACAACTGGTAGTTGATTAAGAGCAGCAGCGGCTAATTACGAGAACAACAGATTGTAAAGAATACAGGAGTAACAGATGAAATTATTGGGGAAAAGCAAAGAATCACTCAGTAGTAAACCACTAGAATAGTCTGGAACTCATTAAATACATATAATTTTAGCATGGTACTTTTTGGCATACTACAATAAGCCGTCATCTTGATGGTACTGACTCACACAAGAAACTGGTTTCATATACTCTGTTTAATAAGGCATTGAAAAGCATAATGTGTTTAAGAATTATTTCTTTGAAATGATTCATATTATTTTTAATTGATCTATCAAAACATAAAGTCTCATATTCTGGAAAGCTCAGTTCTCAAAAATAGATGTGATGTTACTGCAACTTAGGTAGATAAGCCCATTATGCATTGGTTATGCTTTCAGAATACATAGATAACTTATCTCTTGAATCAGACATTTAGCATAAGTTAGCAAAAGTTCATAAAGGCTCTGGAAAACACTTCTTTCAACCCTCATAATCGCTATCAAACAGACATGATTTATTGGAGGAAAAAAGTTTCGTCAGTAGGACAGAGGTTTATTTTAGCATTAAAAGGAAGAATGTCATGAGAAAGTATATTCATATCTCAAGGGGAGGAAAAATGGGTAGTTGTTAATTTTGACTAAAAAGTGAATAAATGTATGATTCAAAGAGTAAAATGAACTCAAAGAAACATAAAAATGACATGTACACTTAGAATACGAGTGGCTTTGTACGTATATTCTTAGTTTGGGGAAAATTGTTCCAACTACTAAAAATCTTCAAATTTAAGTTTGCAAAAAGCACAATAAATGAACAATTCTGTTAACTGTAATAGATGGGCTATAACAAAGAGAAATGAATTTTGAGAGAGCTAATTAATTCTGTTTTTCATAAACTTGCATTAAAAAGCTAGCCGGAGCACAGGGACAAATATCCTGTAGAACTCACTATTTGAAAACTATTTAAGAAGTTAGAATGTCTCTTGCCACTTTTCCCCAAACTTCTGTTGAATTATAAAAAATGTGTTTATATTCCTTGGAAGTTCTTTCTTCCCTTTTTCTCCATCTGGATATTTGTAAGGTTCTAATCCAACTGGGTGCTGCTGCTTCCTGCATTGACAAAAGGTATTAAAGCCTACATCAGCCTAAAATTTTCTCATGGTGAAGATTTAAAGTCAAATTAAATAAATTGATTTCCTCTCATCTTTATTTTTTAATGCAAAGTTATAGTTATGGCATTCAGTCTAATTAAAATCAGAGGTCACGATATATGGATTTATACTCTATTCTAATCTATAATGTATTTATCTCATAATATATACCCAAGTCTTCAATGAACAAAAAGAGAAAAATGTTTTCTCCCCTTAAGATCATTTTATTTCATATTTTAATTTTTACCACTACTTTATACAAAGTAGAAAACAAGTCAACAGTACCCTAGTTTGAAATAAGGCATTCTTTTAACACCACAAGAAATTAAAACATAATTTCTATTAAGGATATGATGAGTCATCTCATTCATTTGTGAAGCTTCACAGAGCACATTGTAAACATGGATTTCCGTGTTCTGGCATCAATCACATAACTAATTTTTCATGAGGGATTTCTTTCCTGGTTACATCGTCTCAAAATCTTCTCACACTACAAAAAGTCTAGCAAATTCTACCTTTAATCTACAGATAGTTTTAGGGAATTAAATTTCTCAAAGCAAACTATTAAAAGATGATTTAATGGATTCTTCTAAAAGGAAGAAGTAGCAAAAGCTTTTTTGAGTGACCTTACCCTTGAAGGTTCAAAATGCCTGCATATTGTTTAACTGTTCCGAAGTTAATAAACATGAGATGGTGAATGCAGTAGTTTTTGTCTTTCTTTATAACAATATTATGTTTGTGTTTACAACTAATGTAAATATATGGGAATAATTAGCTATTACTGAGCAACTGGTATTTATGCACATTTGAGTGGCTCTTAACAAGTATACAAATAGCACTATAGAGATATGACTCAACTTGGTTTGTTTTATGTTTTTTTAACTTAATATTGTTCATCCTCTCTTATGAGATAGTTTTCTCTTTAAGCACCACAAAATTAATATTATGTAGACAAGCTGCATTTCCCCCATACTGTGTATTAAGGAACTGTGTATAGGCTCATCTGACCATCTATTCTAGCCCTTAATATTCTTTAAAGTTACTTTGGTGATGTTTCTGTGCTATCACAGTTGACAGACAAAATTGAAGTTGAACTCCCAGCCTTGAGTTGATTAAATAAGCTGGTACAGATGTAAGCACGAGCAGTTTGATGTACAAATGTGAAAAAGAAAAAAAAAAAAAAAGAATCAAGAGAAAGCCAATGAGTTTTTGCTTTGTTTTGTTTATTTTTTACCACAATGAGTGTCATCTCTTCCAGACATGCTGTGTCTCAAATAGTTCATGATGCTGTGGAGGCAAAGATGAGAATTAAGAAATGAAAAGGCAAATTGCTTTGTAAGAAAGTTTTCTTATTATCTATCTCTGAGACATCTAATATTACTTTCTCTCAGAGTCCAATAAACCATATATTACTGCCTGCTAGTAATCTATTCATTTGGTTGTAGTAGTTTCAGTGAGAGTTGTCCAAATGAACAGAAAAGAGATAATAGCCAGCACAATCATAAGAGAAAGGACAATGATTCATATTTTTCCATAAATTGAGACAATATAATTTATTTTAATTTTCCAAGATGCTTTTTAAAACACTTCGTTCGTTCAATAGCATAGTTATCACCAGACAAAACCTGATGTAGACAATGAATCTATAGACAGCGGACAATAATAGATACAACACTGTCAACTGGAGCGCTACAAGGCCATTTGATAGCTCATGCCAGGCAAAAGTGCAACGGATTTGTCATTATTCACACCTTAAACCTCCGGTATACAACAGGCAGAATAAATGTCACTGTTTCTTTATGCTTAAAATCGCTATAATCCTTAAGCAGCAGGGAATAGCTGTATCTCTTTTTTTCTAGTGTTCTCTTTTTGTATCCAGAGGAAAAAACTTCAGACACAGTATTTCCAAAAGCACGCTAAAAAAGAGAGCAAAATAAATTCCTTATTAGGAGGATATTTGATGAAAACATTACATTTGAATAAAATAGGTTATGTGTGCCTCAGCATGAGAGAGTTTTGTAAAAGGAACATTCAATACAGTTGTTATCAGCCTCATGTGAATCTATAAATTGATAAATATTAAATAAAACCTGAAAATTCACCTTCTCCATCACACTAGCCACATTTAGATTACTCAATAGTAATTTGTAGCCAGTGACTACCATAACGAGCCCTGCATTACAGAGTGGTCACCTCATCACAGAAAGTTCTATTGGATAGTACTGTTCTACATGATAATGCGTGTAATACAGTTCAGAGAAAACAGTAGGTTGTCCTATTAGATACACCCCTCTGTTTTATATTTGGGGTAACTGAAATCCCAAAAAGGAAGTCACATGAGTAAAAACTGTGATAAATATGTTTTAACTTACTGGGGAGGAAAGGTAGGGAGAGAGTTTAAAGTTCACTTTGCAGACCATTTGTTATTTAAGTAATTTAATTGTCACAATCAGTCTTCACATTCTGATCATAAAAATGATGCTTCAGAAAAATCAAACCAATTCTAACATTATTTTAATCTTCAAATGTAGGACTGAGTCATTTTAAATCTTCTGTAGGTTATTCCCAATCGCCTGACTTAAAGTAGCTTCATAGACCCATTACAAATTTCTCTAATTTCCTTCAGTCTAAGTGGTTTATAAAATTAAGACCTCAGGGAGACAGGTTTTTGATTCACTATTGATGAATGGGATGCACAATGAAAAAGACTTTAAAAAAAAAAGATACTCATTGAAATCCTCTTTGAAATAAATGGTAAAAGTCTGTCTGCTGGCCAGGTTTCCCTCCCTATTCACTCTGTAAACTGTAACCCTCAAGCTCATCACCACCTACACATACAGTGTTGTGACAGCACTCAGAATCTACTTTTCATTTCTACAAGAGCCCAGCTTCCTTTAAATGAAACCACATTCAAATCCTATGAAAGGAGTTTATTTTCAGACATTAAACTGAGGAGCCTGGCCCATTAATCCAATCTTCTTTTTATAGTGTTCTTTGGAAAGTTATCATCATTACCTTTCCTGGCCCTTCAGATATCATTGAGTATCTGTCAAGAAAATAGAAAGGCACACGTATCCAAAAATTACTCATGAGCAGCTCGATTAAGTATGCAATGGAATATAGTTTGGGAAACTTTCTGGAACTGGATGAAAGGAAGTGTCATGAATGATATCCCCAGTAGAGCTTAATTCTTCAATGCTTATCTATTCTATATTTAATCTGTGTAAAGGAAACTTCTTGCTAGCCTTCTGGTGTCATTTGACGTCTCTCCGGTTCACTCTTGTAACCCTGTTTTCAGCAGGATGCTATGTGTTAGACATCTATATATTTATTTTTCACCTCCCATCCCCAGGTTTCTTCAAATGTGCTGCTTCAATCCTACATCAGCTTATGAATCCAAAAAGCTAAAGTCATTAGGAGTACAACTAAGTAAATAGACAGGAGTGAGAGCTAAGAAGACTTTTTTTTCCTTCCTTTTTTAAAAATTTAATAAATTTGACATTATATTTCATAAATTTAAGGTATACAGTGTGTTACTTTGATAAATTTATATATTGTAATATGATTGCCATTGAAGTAGTCTATGTCAGATTACATCATTAGAGTACAATATTATTGTCCCCTTTCATTACATTGTGGATTAGATTTCTGTGACTTATTTACTGTATATTACAAGTTTGTATACTTCAACACCATCAATCTTATCCAAGCCCCTTGCCTCCATGATCTACTGATTACCACCATTTTACTCCATTTTTTCATGGATTTCACTTTTTTAGATTCCACGTATAAGTGATATCATGCGGTACTTGTCTTTCTCTGTCTGACTTATCTTGCTTACCATAATGTGCTCAGATGTCATCCATGTCATTGCAGAAGACGGGATATCCTCCTTTCTCATGGCTGAAATAAATAAATATATACATATGTATATGTATATATATATAAATATAATAAATAAATATATATAAATATAAATAAATATATATAAATAAATATATATATGTGTGTGTGTGTGTGTATATATATATATATATATATATATATATATATAAATTTTATCCATTCATCCATTGATACCTCCACCTGGAAGTGGAATTGCTGGATCATATGGTACATATATTTTTACTTTTTTGAGGAACTCTCATATTGTTTTCCATAGCAGTTGGATGAATTTACATTCCTATCAACAGTGTATAAGAGCTCCCTTTTACCATGTTCTCACCTTCACTCAGTGTCTCTTGTCTTCTTGACGATAGCCATACTAACAGGTGTGAGATGACATTTCATTGTGGTTCTGATTTGCATTTCCCTGCTGATTAGTGATGTTGAGCATCTTTTATGTGCTTTTTTGGCTATTTTGATATCCTTTTTAGAAAAAAAAATCTAGTTCTGCCCATTTTTCAATTAGATGCTTTTAGGGGTTTTCTGTTGTTATTAAGGTATATTCTTTATTAAGTTGTATTCTTTATATTTTTTGGATATTAACCTCTTATCCAATATATGCTTTGACAAAATTTTCTTCCATTTCTTCCATATTTGCAAGAAAATAAAATTTTCTTCCATTCTATAGCTTGCCATTTCATTGCATTGTTTCTTTTGTTGTGCAGAGACTTTTGAGTTTGATGTGGTCGCATTTGTTAATTATTCCTTTTGTTGCTTGTGTTTTTGGTGTCATGAGCAAAAAGTCATTACTGAGACCAATATTGATAAGCCACTGATCTATATTTTCTTCTAGGAGTTTTATGTTATCAGGTCTATGTTGAAGTCTTTTTTCCATTTCAAGTGAATTTTTTGAGTGATGTGATAGAAGGGTCCAATTTCATTGTACTGCATGTTTTTCCCAGCATTATTTGTTGAAGGACTATCCTTCCCCCCAGAGGTGTTCATGGCTCCCTTGTTGAGTATTAGTTGACTCTACATGCCAAGATTTAATTCTGAGCTTTCTGTTCTGTTTCATTGGTCTATATGTATATTTTTGTGTCAGTTCCATACTGTTTTTTATTACTATGGCTTTACAGTGTAGTTTGAAATCAGATTTTGTTCTTTTATCCTCAGAATATTTTTTGGCTATTTGGTGTCTTTTATGGTTCCACATAAACTTTAGATTCTTTCTTCTATTTCTGCGAAGAATGCCTTTGATATTTTGGTGAGGATTGCATTGAGTCTGTAGATGGCTAAGGGGAATATGGCCATTTTAACAATATTTATTATTCCAGTCCATGAGCACAGATTTCTTCACATTTGTTTCTGTCTTCTTCAATTTCTTTCAGCACAGTCTTATAGTTGTCATTGTGCAGATCTTTCACTTCCTTGATTAAATTTTTTCCTAAGTAAATGGGCAGAGGACCTGAGTAAACATTTCTCCAAAGAAGTCATACAAATGGCCCAGAGACATATGAAGAGATGTTCAACATCACTAATAATCAAAAAAATGCAAATCAAAACCACAATGAGATATCACCTCATACCTGTCAGAATGGCTGTTATCAAAATAAATAAATAAATAACAACTGTTGGCAAAGATGTGGAGAAAAAGGAATCTTTGTACACTATTGGTGGGACTGCAAAATGATGTAGCCACTATGGAAAAGGTGTGGATGTTCCTCAAAAATTAAAAATAGAACTACAATATGGTACAACAATTCTACTTCTGAGTATTTAACTAAAGAAAATGGAAGCAGTAATTTGAAAAGGTACATGCATTCCTATGTTGACTGTAGCCTTATTTACAATAGCAAAGATATAGAAGCAACCTCTGTCCATCAATAGATGAATAAATAAAGAAGATTGATTATACACACACACAATGGAATATCTATTAAAAATTAAATTTTGCCATTCATGACAACATGGATGGACCTAAAGGGTATTATGCCAAATAAAATAAGTTAGACAAAGACCGTATGATTTCACTTATATGTAGACTCTAAAAAATAAAACAAATGAATAAATAAAAGAAAACAAAAACAGACCCTTAGGTGCAGAGAATAATCTGGCAGTTGCTAGAGAGGAGGGAGTGAAATAGAGGAAGGGAGTTAAAATGTACAAACTTCCAGTTATAAAATAAATAAGACCTGGGGATACAATATACAAAATAGGGAATATAGTTAAAAATATTTAAACACTTTATATGGTAACAGATGGTGGGTAGATTTATTTTGGTGACCACTTCCTAATGTATTACAATGCTGCATACATGAAATTAAAATAATATTGTATATCAACTACAATTCAACAACATTTTATTACCTAAGTATTTTATTGTTTTTGATGCTATTTTGATTGGGATTTTTTTTTTCCAATGCTTCATCATTAGCATAAGGGGATGCCACTGCTTTCTGTAAGCTGATCCTTTAATCTGCCACTTCATTGAAATCATTAATTAATTTCAACAAGTTTTTGATTGACTTTTTTGGATTTTATATACATAAGATCATACCATCAGCAATTAGTGACAGTTTTACTTCTTCCTTCCTGATTTGGATGCCTTTTATTTCTTTGTCTTTTCTAATTGCTTCCAGTACTAAATAGAAGTAGTGAGAGTGGGCAACCTTGTCTTGTTCCCGAACTCAGAGAAACCCCTTTCAATTTTTCTTCATTGAATATGATATTAGCTGTGGGTTGGTTATATATGGCCTTTACTAAGTTCAGGCATGTTCCTTCAATACCCAATATTGTTAAGGGTTTTTATCATGAAAAGATGTTGTATTTTATCACATTAGACAGCACCATTCTTAGTGAATTTGGCAGGTGTCTATCAATTATATATTAAATGATTAAAGCAAATTATAATATTCCCAGTAAGTATAATTTATTTTTGCATTAGCTGGATCTCTGCGTCCATTTTACCTTCACACAATGGAATTCATAGTAGAACAACTTCTAGTTACACAATTGAACAACACTTTTTTTTTGTTTGTTTGTTTTTTAAAGAACCAATGCCAGGAAAGTCCTTTCTTTTTTTTTTTTTTTTTTTTTTTTTTAATTTGTCAGAGAGAGAGAGGGAGAGAGAGCAAGCACAGGCAGACAGAATGGCAGGCAGAGGCAGAGGGAGAAGCAGGCTCCCTGATGAGCAAGGAGCCCGATGTGGGACTCGATCCCAGGACGCTGGGATCATGACCTGAGTCGAAGGCAGCTGCTTAACCAACTGAGCCACCCAGGCGTCCCTGAACAACACTTTAAATATAAGGTGGGTTGTTTCTGTGACTTAACCTGAGCATCTACTTCATGTTTATCACCACAAATATTTACTTTATTCCTACTAATACAAATATATTTAAATATCTCCTTGCTTAAAAAAGAAGAAGATTCCTTGATCAGACTTCAAAGTGCTCTAGCTAATATTCTAATTTTTTATACCCTTTAGAACAAAATTTCTCAAAAGTGGTGTCTATTGTCAGTGGTACTAGAGAAATGATAAAAATATTGCTTTATCATATTCTGTTTAGCCCAAAGTCCACCAAATTCTTGTCAAAGCCATTAATTATCTTTTATTGCTGTTCAGAAGGAAAGTTGCAGTCATCAACTAATGGGCCTATTATAGCTTTAAATACACTTACACTACTTCCTAGAAACTGTGAAGTCTTCTTTATTGGTCACTTCCTTCCTTGGTAGCCACTCTAATAAGCCTCCTTTGCTGATTCTCTCTTCTGCCCAACCTCTAATCTTGGAACCACCTGGGCTTCAGCCTCGGTTGTCTTCTCTTTTATATTTAGAGTTATTCCTTAGATGGTTTGATCACAATAACAAGCAATATTGATATGCTGATATAACTGTCAAATTTATATCTCCAATATGAGCTGTTTCCTTAAACTTCAAATTTATATATTCAATGGTCTACTCAGATCACTAAAGAAGTCCCCCCTTATCTGTGGAAGACATGTTTCAAGACCCCCAGTGGATGTCTGAAACTGCAGATAGTACTGAATGCTATAAATACTATGTTTTTTCCTAAGCATACATACTACAATAAAGTTCAGTTTATAAACTGGGCACAGTAAGAGATTAATAACAATAACTAATAATCAACTAGAACAATTATAACAATACACTGCAATAAAAGTTATGTGAATGTGGCCTCTTTCCCTCAAAATATCTTATTATACTCTAGTTGCCCTTCTTCTGGTGATGATGTATATGATACAATGCCTACATGATGACATGAAGTGAGGTGAATGACACAGGCTCTATGACATAATATCAGGCTACTACTGACCAAAATGCTGCTGATATATCAGAGGAGGATTGTTTGCTTCTGAACCATGGCTGAGCACAGGTAACTGAAACTACAAAATATGCATGAGGAGGTTACTATATACTGTGGAGATACTGTTATGCATAGTAATGACAAGCTCAAGATGTCTGTGGTAGAAATATGATTCTCCAAATACCCCTTGTGCTTTTTTTTTTTTTTTTACATTTTCCAGGTGCTTCCCTGACCCTGTTCAGTTAAATTAAGATCATGTGTCTAATTTTAGCAGTTAAGAGTGTGTTTACCTCCATCTCTCTCCCGTTCTACCTCGGGAACACATAGATACAGAGTAAAGGAAAATGATGAACATATGCGAGGCTTCATGTAATCAAAACATAAATCTTAAAGTAGCTACATTACTGAAATCGTAAGGTTAGTTTGCTAATGGAGTTTGCCTAATTTATCCCCAAATACAACTTGACAACAAATACAATGGGAATAAAGAGAGTCCAGAAAACAAGATCTCAAAATGTTGAAAGAACTAACTTCTTCTAGATCCCAAACACTATGAGATTTAAAAACACTCCAAGTGATAGTGCCTCTGTAAATAGCAGTTGGAATAAAGAACTCAGGCCAAAAATCAGACTGAGAATGTAGTCTTTAAGGTATGTTCCAGATACTTTGAAGGCAACTGCTACTAAATTGGGGGTGAGAATGCAGAATAATTAAAATTGCTTTTTTAAAAAGTGTGTGCATGGAGCAAGTACATGAGAAGCTTTCTAATTTTTTGAAGGAACATCAATGTCAAAGAAACCATAGATCCTAAAATAAAAATATCTTCAACACGTAAAGACAAAATAAACCTTGTGCCTCCAACTTTGCAAAAGTAGGACGAGACCTGAGAAAACTGTGCCATCCTGGAGAAAGGAATAATCCCTGAGTGGCACATAAGATGGGTCCAGAGATAAAAACGAAAAAGCAAAAATTTCAAACAGTGAAGCCAGTGGAAACATCACAATGGGCAAATGACTCCTCTTAGATAACACAGACTTCAGTCAAGACACCTTTTTCCAACCCCAGGGTAGGAGACCTTTATAATATTTGCACAGTGGGATTTCAGAATTGCTGGAGGATAGCATTCTGTGTGTCTCTTGGTTTCCTTTATTAAAGGGATTGATAATTGTGATTTGCCTGTCCTGGTTCTGCCAGTTACTGGATTTGTCTTTTCAGCCAACAGGTCTGTGAATGAAGAAGAAGAAGCCACACTGTAGCTGATGAAGACTGGTAAGTATCTCCTCCTGGAGAGCCTGTTCACTGACTTCTGGGTTCAGTCACTGAAAGAGATCTGGGATTGTCTCTAAAGGGAATGCGTTGAGTATAGTCTATGTGGTTAAGGAGAGATCAAAGGATTGACTGTGTGTGGTATAGGAAGAGCTCCCCAAGTATTATATGTACTTCCTAAAATGCCTCAGCCTATCTTGCCAATATTTTGGTGGCAGTCCACATGACTAATTCTAGCCAACAGACTTCAGGAGAACCGATACCTGTACTGAACTGAGTTCTGAACTCAGGGAGTTCAGAGCTGGGATGTGTCCTCTATCCCTTTCCTGTGTCTTGGAAATATTAGGGGCAGTCAAGATATAACAACCTTCTAGATGATATAGCCAGAAAATAGAAGTGGGTTGTGCAACATGCATTGGACTTTATTATAAAATAAGCCTCTGAGATTTGGATTAAAACTGATACCACATGATAACCTAAACTATGCTAATTCTGGGAAGGCCTAATAAATTTCTATCCCAGTGCTTCTATACCACCAAATGTTCTCCTCTTCCAGCTACCTCTGACTCAATAAATAGAAATTACCCTCTTTTCCTAGTTGGTTTAAAAAAAAACTTTGAAATCACTTTTGATGCCTTCCTTTAAAAAAAAATGCAATTCTACAACAAATTTTGTTGGTTTTTTTTGTTCAACTTATATCCAGAATCAGACCCCTTCTTATCAATTCACTACTGCCACCCTAATCCAAGCTACTACCACTTACCATCTAAATGACTAAATTTTCCTCATTAATGGTTTCTCTGCTTCTACCTTTGCCCATCTTTTGCAGTGTATTCTCCACGAATCATCAGAGTGGCTCTGTTAAAACTTATCTCATATTTCTATTTTGCTACAAGTCTCCAATGATATTTCATTTGATACCCAATAAAAGCTAAAGTCCTTAAAAATCCTGAAGTTTCTCTCCTTTACATCTTCAGTTCATCTTCTACGATACTTTCCTTTAGGATCACTAGCTGAGTCACTTAGCAGTTGGGTTATTTTTGGCACATAATTTCACCTCTCTGAGATATAATTTCCTCATCTATAAAATAAGCATAGGAATTGCTATCCTATGGTGTTTATGATGAAAATAAAATAATAATTATAGTATTGATCAAAACCATAAAAAACAAGTTAGGCTTACTTAGTACTTACTATATACCAGACGTTATTCTAAATGTCTTTCCTATATTTACCTATCAAATATTCCCGACAATCTCATAAAGATAATTATTATTATAATTTGCAATTGGGGGGAAAGAAAATGAGGCACAAGATGTTTTATAATTGCTCAAGTTCAAACAGGTAGGAAATGTCAATGTTGATTTGAACCCAGGCAGTTTATCTCTAGAGCCTGTGTATTTAACCACAATATTTTGACATATTAGAGTATAAAATGTCTTGTATATGCCAAGTGTTTAAATAATACCAGTGCATCCTCTTCCTACTTACTAGCATTGTGAAATAAGTTTTTGCACAAGTTAAAGACAAATCTGGAAGGAGGGGAGAAATGTAGATAAATAAAAGGAGTCTTAGGAAGGCTCACATTACTATATGAATGGAGAAATATATACACAATTTTTTCAAATATAACAACCAATTCAGCAAGAAACAAGAATTTCCCAAGAAATGTTATAAAAAAAATAAGAAGGATCTAAAAGACAAATCTTTCTAAAATTAAATGTTATGATTCAAACCTTGAACCAAGTGTTAGAGCAATGAGGGTTCACCTTACTTCAATAAAGATCTTCTAAAATTTGAATTGACTTAAAAGTTGATTGCTTCTATTTATGATTCTCCCAACTCCAGTCTTTAACCAAAATAACAAGGGTAGGTCACAATTTTTAGCAATAAGGGCCTATTTTACCTAAATCTGGAACATATGACCTTACTATCCACTCCTGTAAACATGACAGAGCTCAGATATATTCACAAAGGAACATATTCATTGGCATCTTTTTAGAAAATATGAACCTCGATCTTAATAATCACCATAGGATTAAGAAATGTCAAGTTAATCTTTTCCCTCTTAGTAATAATTGTGAAAGTAATCTTTCAGATGTCAATTTTAGAAATTTGAAATTAAAATTTACCTTGCTTGCTTGGATGGGAAGAAGATGGACCATCTATAGCATAGGATATGTCAACATCTTTTGCCTCCATGAACTGCTCTTTTAGCTTTTCCAACTGTTAAAAATCAAATATAAAAATTATAAATATTTAGTAAGAATGATACTGCTTTCTATTGAAAAAGGAATAATTAGAAAAAGAAAGGAAAAAGCATGGAAAAAATGGAAGAAGGGAGAAAGAAAGAAGGAAAAAAAGGAATGGAAAAGGAGAAAAATAATAAAGAAAATAAACAAAAAGAATTAAATAGAAAAATCCAAGGAAACTTGTAGTTAGAGACTGGCTTGGAAAGGTACATGACTCAACAGGAGATAGGAAGAAACAGGTTTATGGTGAAGGAAGTCAACTCCAGGTGTTAATTAATGGGGAGCTTATAAACATAGCCTGTGTTGCTGGACTGGATTTTATGTCACCTATAATGAGCAGTCCTTTTCAAGGAGTTTCAAAGAGTTATGTAAATGTTTGAATTTCCTGAAATATTTCTCCTTTCCAGAAGGAAAGGAGAGGTATTTTGAGGTCTTGGGATTTTTACCTGGTATTCAACCCATGTTAATTTTTAGCAAGCTCTCTGATTGCCCATGCCCTGAAGACCTAACTCTACCAAAATGGAGTTCAGCCTGGCTACTGAAGGTGTCCATGTCCAACCTGCTCAAAATGATGAGGTATGATTCTCTCTCCCAAACAGCCACATGGTTTGTATAATAATGAATTTGCATGCATGTATGCGGACAAGTTTTGAAATCATCTAATCTGGTGATTTTTGAATTTTCTTCCCAACATGTCAACCAGTGAAGAAATAAGGCTGCAAAGGGGCTCCCAATCAGGAGGGCTGAGAGCAGGTCAGGAAGGTGACACTTCAGGCCTGCAACCAGGTGATTTAAGCAGGACAGCTCCACCTTCATGTGCTTCACTTACTAGGACCACATCCAATTTATTTGGGAAAAAGTATTTCCACTTTTTAAAATAATAACTATGTTATTAAAAATCACCAATCTAAGTATAGCCTCCCATTTTGCAGATGAGATTTAAATCCAGAGAATTTTAATTTATCCATGGTCTTATAGTTAGGTAATTGAAGAGCTAGGATGAGAATCCAGATTTTCTACACATTTCGTCTCAAGATCTCTTCAGCTATAGTTTTGTTTTGGTTTTCTTTTCTTTCTTTTTTTTTTTAACTTAAGTGTAATTTGACTATTTTTTCCCCCTAGTGAATTACTTTACTCTTTCTCTAGCAGGAATAAAAAAAAATTTAACAGTATAGCACTAATAATTGTTCAAAACTGTGCCCAAAGAAAATGCCTTATAATTATTAATAAAATTGAAATGTAAGTATTGCACATTCTCACCTGCTTAAGTTCTTCCAATTTGCCAGTTGTCTATCTGCAAGATACATTTTCATATGAAAAATTTCATTGCAAGTAATATTTGATTCACTTCAGGACATGCATTCAGGATCTTATGTGGAAGGCAAAGTCTTTTTTCGTATGATTTAAGACCACCCGTCATTCCTAATATAAAAACCAAATATTTTCTCAATGTCTATAACATTGACTTATAACCAGTTATGTAATGAGAAAATATCTGATTTCTAGTAATAAGCACAAAGCTTTCTAAAATAGACCATAGTTCTAACACGTACTATTATTTAGAAATAAACTATTTTACTGATATGAGGAAATCTTATAAAACAATTTTAAGCAAAAAGAGCAGGACACAGTATCTATGTAATTCAACTGATAAACACCTAACATATGAATAGTAACTCCCTCCGTTACAATTTGAGTATAAGTTTTTCTTTTGTATAATTTCATTCATTTTTTTCAAAGAGAATATCTTCTAATTTTAAAACCTTATATTCTAAAAATATTTATTAAGATATTGTTGTAGTCCGCACATTGTCCATGTATAGACATTTTCTTTAGAAGACCAGATGTTTTCTGGGAGTATACCACATTGACATATTGTCACATTTTCTCTCAGGCTAGACTTACCAAGTTTCTGACAGTATTTGTCATTTCTTGGGGAACATTCTGATACATAAATTATATTCTTCTAGTCTTTAAAGAAAAAAATCTCAGTTGGTGTAGCCTAAATTTCCCAATGGTCTCTACTCTAACCATTTCTCACACTGGGAGAATTTGATTGCAAAATATGCTAACTTAACTGCTATGAGACTGCAGTTAATTTGTGAAATTTCTAATGGAAACCTATGAATGGATGTGAAGCATTTAGTAATAAAAAATATATATATATGTGTGTGTGTGTGTGTGTGTGTGTGTGTATACATATAAACTGTACCAATAAGGACTTGCATAGATATGAAAATATGAGTAAAGATCACTATGGTGTAACTACATGGTTACCAATCCCACTAGGACCTTCTAATTGAAGAAAATAGGATTTTAATATTTGTTAATAATGCCATTGCTTTTAGCATGAATATGAAATAATAAAAACACTTAAGCCATCAGTGCAGCATAAAAGGGAGTAGTTATTATTTTATTTAATATAACTAAACATTTAGAAAGAGCAGATCAGAAGACAGATCTAGACTCACCAATGTTAAAAGGTCTTTGGAAATCAAAATATTTATTCAGTAGAGCCAGCAGTAGTTCCTTATGATTTGTGTCTTCTTTATCTGGAAATATAATAATCACCTCAATGTAATAAAACTTCCATTTTCTATCTGTGTCACTGGAAGTATTTATAATTAAATACATTTTACAGGTAACTATCAGTGCGTATAGTCATCAATAAAAGGCATGTGGAGAAAGGTGTGTAATCAAATAAAACAGGCTGTTAAAAAATCATTGAATGAATAGGAGCACTCAAAGACAGAATGTGAGAGAGAAGAGACAGAGAGTATGTCTGAAAGGTGACATCCTAAATTTTACCACCTTCATTCCTAGGTAGTAGAATTACAGGTAAATTTCTTATTTTTTACCTGCATTTTTGAAATTTTCTACTCTTATGTTTAATATGAAAAACATAAAAGTTATGTTTTTAAAGAAAAAAATCAATATATTTTTTTAAAATTTTGGATTTTTATGAGCTATACACATTAAAATATGAACCATTTTGTGTTCTGGAGATTGCATTTAAACTATCTAAGGAATCCTATGGAAGAGGTTGCATGATGTCTATTTTCTCTCTATTGACGTCTTTCCATCTTTGTTAGTTTCCCTCCCATTCCATTCACTGACCAGATGCCCAACTCTTTCAGCACCTTAAAAACAAATATCACACAATTTTTTGTAAATATTTTTATTTTATTAAATATTTTTAATCAGGACAATAACCTTTACTCAAGTTATAAAACATGTAGACTCAATAAGGTAGCTATTAACAAATAACACAATTGAAATAATAACCAGTGTATTACAAATAAAATAAACTTTTGTGAGGTGGCCTAAAAAATCAAACCTTTATCATAGAACTTCTTTGGATCATTTTTCTCTACTTCCTATTTCCTTAGACAAGCTGACAGTGTGAGCAGAAGCTAGATTTGTGAGTTTGAAGTTTAGAAGTGAGAGTATTGTGGTTTTAGCTACAGAAATGGCTCATGACTTGACTGTATTATTCCACGAAACCATCTGCCTTTCCTGTGTTTAGAAAATGTTTATTGATGAACTCAAAGGACTGAGAGGCTAATGAAAGAAATCAGAAAGCCTTGGTGAGCAAATGGGTGACTTAGGGCAAGTGACAGCATTGTTTCCACACTGACCAAACATCGTTCATTGGTGCTCAGTTCTTCAATTTCCTTTACATCATAAACATAGAAATTATCTGTGACATTCTGGGTTTTTTCTATTGATTAATTAAAACACTAATAGAATACCAATGGAAATTTTGTTTACCATTAATTAAATGAAGACCCTCAGAGAGAATTTAGTTTAAGATGTGGCCATGCAATACAATAATTGTTACTACAGTTGTTTATGAAAATGTTAAATAATAAACTTTAAAATGTTTCTGTTTGAAAAAGACATAAGGTACATTTTATAGCCAGATGATAATGGTTACTTGTGTCAGAGAACTGTGATAAAAGCAACTGTTTCATTGCCTTAACTAGAGAAAGTATAAGATAAGAAGGAAGTAAGGAGGAAAAGTAGAGCTGAAGATTTTATGTGCTTAATTCACAATCCACTTCTGCATATTTAACTGGAACATTTTTCACAAAAGAAAATTAACCTATTTGCCTTTCTTTACCACTTTTGCTTGCGGTAACTACACTTGCACAAGTGTCCTCAAAAAGTCTTGTCACTACCTTTTAAGGCAACCACTGTTTACAGGACTCTCTGAAGAAAAAGTTTTCTCAAAAATTTTTTCAAATATTTTTTGTTCTTAAAGTTAAGAAAATATTGTCTAAGATATATAATAGGAAATAAACCTTTTTTATTCTTGTTTTCTGTAATCATCCCTCAGAATAATATACTGCTTAAAATATAACTTAACTAATGAGAAGTTGTACTGGTCATGCAAGCATGCCTAAGATGACCTTGAGGAAAACATGCACTAGCCGCAGGCCTCTGGTGGAGGGGATGAGAAATGTCCTTGAAGCCGAGCAGCGGGGGATGCCAGGCCCACTCAGGGTGGAACAGAGAAAGCCTGCTGTTAAGGTAATCCCTTTAAGTGCACTTGCTCAACTACAAATCCGTGCTGCTGGACCCCACACACCTTACTCCTCTTCTTGTCTACCTCCTTTACCTCTAAGTTTTCTTCTCCTTTGTTGCTATCTTGTATCTAATAAATACGGGACAGAGAAGTTGTTCTGTTGACAGTCCTTTCAGCTGTGGTCCCTTGCTCCCCTCTGTCTTACTGCTGACTTGTTTGTGCCTCATTATTCTCCCGTGCACCCTTAGGAAATCAGCAGTTTTCATTTTTAGTTTTAAAACAGCTACAGTTTTAAAAGAAAAAAAAATACACATATTTTGACTATGTTTCTGTCTTTGAACTACAGTTATTTTAAAAAGTGAATTATAAAGGTTAATATTGATAAAGGAAATGTTTGAATAAAAACTCCCTGAGTGTAGATGCACCCTTAGCACAAAGGATGGCAAAGTTACCCAGACGTGACTGAGGAAATGCTTTTGCAAATACACAGATAATATTGGTTCATTATTACTTAAGATAGACTTAAAAGATTTTGTTGCCTCCTTGCTTTTTGTTCAAATATGAAGCATTTTAGTGGAGACAGATGAGAAATTTTTACCAGAAAGAAACCTGGAAACCCCCTCATACTGATAATACCAAAAAATTCATAAATTTTCCATAGTCTTCTGGGTCATGGTAGTCCCTCTTCCGTCTTTTGTGGTAGGTAGTTTGCTCACTGTCAGGTTTACCCATGGAGCCAGGCTTTTCTATAGCCCCCTCCAAATTAAAGCTGGTAGACCGTGCCATTTGTCTTGAATATTGTCTAACACAGAGCAAGAGATGGTAACCCCAACTTTGCTCTCTGTCAGTGGACAAATGCTTATTTGAAAAATGTGTCAAAAAACCACAATAAGTCAAATGTTTGGCTGTTTTGACACATGTGTGTGTGGAGAGAGGCATACTCTAATCACAGACAATTTGGTTCAGAAGATAACCTTACTAGTAATTTCATCTTTTCCATTTACATACAAGGCAACAGATCCAAGGGAGTCCTAGAGAGAAACCTTTCCAATATGCTGCCAGTGACAGAAGGACATCAATGTGTGGTATTCTGGGGTCAGAGGTGTTAATGTAATTTTAATCTAGAAAAATGCTTTAGAGTTGGATTCTGCTGTATCCCACATGCATATGAAATCAGAAGGTACATTTACCACTAACATCCTAATTTTGCAAAGTCCTCAATGAATGGTCTCATTTTTCCACACATGTCTGTGCTATGATAAGAACATTGAAAATCTCATTATTTCACAGGAAGAGCAATAGAGGCCTACCAAGTGCAATGATTTTGACCCGCCAAAGACAAAATGTGAGCCATGGATAAAATCTAGTCTTTTTGATTCCCAAGTTTCTATTTATGTCTCTGGAACAATTTGTTTTTCAATGGAAAAATCGCTATAAATAAATAATAAGGATTTATGCAATTTTAGTTTCATTGCCAAAAGAACTGCTTTTTCATTGACTTTTAAAACTGCATCTGAAGCAACATGGTCTAGTACAATTGAATTCCTTCTAAAAGGGAGAGAAACTTGAGCCCTCTTCTCAGTCTAATATTATATAAACCAAATGTATAATGTTCTGATTTGGTTCCGCACCCAATAGGACAAAAGGCTCTTTCCAACCCATCAAGAAGGTCAGTTAGATGACAGTAACCTCAAAATCTCAAGCTGGAAGGGAAAATAGAGAGCACTATTTTAAGTTACTATTTTTCAAACATAAAGAATTATGTAAAAGTTTCAATGAGGTTGTTTGCCTAATAAATCAACATTAAATTTAGCTCTACTGATTCTCAGATGAAGAGATATTTCCACTACAAAATGCATTGAAAATTTTAAAGAAAGATCAGTACAAGTTACAATATTACAAAAGCAGAAACTTATTTTCTCCAACTTTACATGGTAAATATTTGTAGATGTCATAGATTACATTATTTCATTTAACATAAGTACCCTAAATATGTTAGAAATCTGATAAATACAGTCAATGCATAATGTAGGTGTTAGCATCATCCTCCTGAAAATACTGTGTAGATCTCCCCATGCATTATTACTTCCAGATTTCTCCAAACACAAATTTCCACCTTAATGAGTTCTTCTCTGAGCCATTCTTCTTTCATAAGTAACTTATTTATAGTCTTATTGGGTAAAACTATTATTTTTCTTTCCCCAAATGTACTTTAAAAATATGCACATGTTAGTTAATTGATTGTGTTACTATTTATACATTCACTACCTTTGGTCATAGAGTAGATGTAAGAAAAAGGTGCCCCATGATTAGAAAAAAAAAAATAATACAATGTAGTCAAAATATATTTAGTACGGTGGTGGTTAAAATTAATTTACTTGAGCAGAACAACACCACAGATTACATTTAACTTAAAACAGCAGCTTTTGAAGGGATGTTTAATGATTACATCATAGTAATGCCTTAAAGCATTATTTTAATAATGTCAGAAAAATTAAGACAATGCAAACAGGAAGATAGGGATTATTTATACATCTGTAGGATTTTAGATTCATGTGTACATACCTTGGGTAAGATATGGCTGTCCATGCACCAATTCCAAAAAACTCATTACAGTTAACAAAGTTAGGAGTCCAAAGCAAAGAGTGGTTGAAAGGACCTTGTTCATGTTAAAAATCTTCTTCTGTGCTAGCAGAGAAACTGGACTATCCAGGTCAAGATAAATACTTCAGTGGCTATGGAATGCTGCAGAGATCACTTTTTAAAAGATGGCAAATGTGCTTCAACTGCAAATGATCTGGACAAAGACAAAAACTTATAAAATGTAATGCATTCTGTCAACATGATTCACTACTTGGAGAAGTGACAGGTTTGCTACTCAGTCAATTACAGGAAGAACACAATCGATACATCTCATCCCTGCCCATTTCACTAAAAGCACGCATTCCTACGCATGCTCACGCACTCAGACACATGCACAAGCACAGAGCAAAAACTGGCAATGTAGAACTTGTTGGTTAGATTTTCATAACAGTGAAATGGGAGCAATGCCTTTCACTTGACTAATTTAGAGTCCCATGGAGGTCTTCCTAATAGCCCAGGTTATTTGCAACCACTGCTTCATTTTTAACCAACCAGATAGATTAGAGTTGGGAAGAGTTCAATCTGTAAATGAATCATAATGGGAACATTAATGTCTTACAACATTGAAGAAGGATGGTTTCTATTTTGCTGCAACCAGCACTTCTAGAGATTAAAGCTAAATCTAATTAATTCAAAGTTGGCAAATGTGCTGTCAATTGCACTCTTTAATACTTGCTTTAATTGTAGCTGCTTTCTTTTGAAGTCAAAGTCTTTCAGTAGATCCACAATTCCAATTTTATGGCTCTGAAGATGTGCTAATGACCTCTGGCCTTGGCATTTACTTCTCTGTCAGGAGAACTTTCCATGCATTAGCTCTAAAACTGACTCAGTTCCCCATGCATAAAGGGCAGCACGTGATAATGTGAAAGAAATGCGATTATCCAACTTTTCACGAACCCATTGCTTTAATAAATTCCCCGAATAAAGTCTCAACTACTTAATTTGATATTCAGCCTTGTTTTTCCTCCACAGGCTCATTTGCACAGCATGTTCTTCTGCACCAGTCACAGTAGGCTTTCAATTCCTGGACAGGCCTTGCACTTCCTCACTTCAGAGCGTCCCTGACACATTCCCCAGTAATGCTTTTAGACTTTATATCTGGATATCAAGCTAAGTGAATGGAAAGAATAATTGCATCTCCTTAAGTGTCTGTTTTCTCCTGAGACTAAAAATTCAAGAACAGTGTCTTTGCAAGTTGATCCTTAAAGTTCATCATACCACAGTGTTTCAAAACCTTCCATCATTCAAACATACCTCGAAACCATCATTATTTATGTAATAAGTTATTTGTATTGGGTTTTTAAACTCTTCTATTTTTAAAGTATGTCAATATGGAAAATGGCAAATGAGTATTACTTAGTAAACAAAGAATATACAACCATGATGAAAAATAGTATAATTGCAAATAATTAGTAAAGAAAAAAGTAAAAACAAAGTATAAAATTCACTGATAATAAATCTGATCAATCATATATAAAATATATTGATAATAAATCTAATAATCCAAAATGAAGGCCTGGCAAAAAATAACAAATAAAGTGTAAGTTAAATATGAGTCAGTATTAAAAACATGTTCAGATCATGGATCCCTAATTTTAAAAAAAATGTTTTGTTTTGTTTTTTTTTTAAAGATTTTATTTATTTGTCAGAGAGAGAGAGAGAGAGCACAGGCAAACAGAGTGGCAGAGGGAGAAGCAGGCTCCCTGCGGAGAAAGGAGCCCGATGTGGGACTTGATCCCAGGACGCTGGGATCATGACCTGAGATGAAGGCAGCCACTTAACCAACTGAGCCACCCAGGCATCCCTAAAAAAAAAATGTTTTTAAATATAAAAGAGATTGTTTGGATTTTTAAAAATTTTGATGTTAAATAGCAGCACAAGGAACCCAATTCCCATAGGGTTTGCCTTCTTAAAAGAGGCAACTTAATTTAACTGCCTTCTGTGATAAGGTTGGGTACTGATGACTCATTTCCTTTTTTTTTTTTTTTTTAAGTGACTGAAAGAGAACTTTTTATTACTTTTCTGTACAGAAAATTCAACAGCATCCACTCAGGCCAGTTTGGTGGGTAGTTCTTTAGCCTTTGTCTTCTCCAACTTGGCAATGTGAGCCACAGACTTTGGACACAGGACATTGCCCCCTCTCCCCCTCCCCCCCCCATGATGTTGGATCTCATCACATCTGTCATTGTACTTGGTCCTGGTGGCTTCCACTAGCTTAGCCAGAGCTCCCCTGTCTTCTGAATTAACCTGTGTGAAGGCAACAGTGGTGCAGGTCTTCCCATGAACCAGATGCCCCAGCCTAGCCTTCCCCTTGGTAATGCGTAGGGAAGCCCACAGCTTAGGACACAGTGCAGGCAGGAAGACAACCAGTTTAATGGGATCCACATCATGTGTAATCACTACCAGCTGAGACTTCCTGTTTCCCACCAATCTGGTGACAAGATTAACTCCAGCTTGAAAGACAGGAGGCCTTTTAGTGGGGATATCCCCTTTGCCAGCGGCCTTCTTCTCAGCCCAGAACCACAATCTCTGCTTCTTGCTTTGTCTCTGGTCTGTATATGTGGGCCAGTTTAGGCAGCTGAGTAGCTGTTTGGTGGTCCAAGGTCTGGGTGAACTGGTTAATCATGAGAGGCACTTCTAGACATTTATAGAAAATAGCCCTTTGCCGTTGCAGCCGGATGTAGTAGGACTATTTGTCAAATGAGGTCTCTTTTGGTCAGGATGCCCTGTCTGATGCCAAAATTCTTGGGCCTTATCTCAGACAAGGGATTGACCATCTTCTTGGTCTCCTGCTTCTTTACAATAGCAGGGGCTTGGGCCAGCTTCTTCCCCTTAGCCTTCTGTCCTTTCAGCATCTCAGATGGCTAGAGTGGAGAGCTCTGATGACTCATTTCTAAACAAAATCTTATGTATGACTTTTGCTCCACAAACATTTGCTTCAGGAAATCTCATGTAACCTCCTGAGTCTCCTGTCATATATTATCTGATATTGAGGAAGTAATGAAAAATAACTTCCTTATCTGTGACCATTCAATCTACTTTGGGGAAAAAAGCCCACAGAGATCCTTAACTAAATCATTCTCTCTCAATAATCAAAATACTTTACTAAATTCCGGTAAGTATATAATCTAATTTGTTGTTTAAATAAAAACAAATTTTCAAGATTGATTGTATTAAACAGATAAATGAAATTAGAATATTTGTTTCTGGAGTCATTAGTATACACAGTAATAGCACATAGCAAGGTTATTGTTGCCACTAATTGAGCAATCATCCAAGCCAGGCCCTGTTCTAAACATTTCACATATATTATCTTTTTAATTCCTACGGTAGTGCCTCAAAAATTATAAAGTTGTTTTGATTTTTCACCTTTTACAGCAAAGGAAGAAAGTAATGGAGCCAAAAGGAAACCTAGATCTACCTCAGAGTCATACCCTTATCCACGTTGTCTCTTGTCCACAACTGGGAAAACATAGAAATGGAAAGTGATTGGTCATTCCAATCAGAGAGATCCCGAATTTTAAAGGAAATTTACAACATTTTCCTTCAAATTTTCAAAAGCAATCCTCTTGATCACTTAGTCTGCATCTCAGTTATTACTTCTAAATAACATTTCTATTTTGTCAATGAAGACACTGTCATTATATTACAATGTATAGATAACTCTAAGATTCTTTTACATCTTAACTATTCTCATATTGAGTGACAGGAAAAGCACAGATAATCAGAGTCCATATGGGGACTCAAATACATTTGAATAATTACTTTCTGACTCTATTAAACAGTTGGGCTTTTTTTCCAGTGAGTAAAAAAATTAAACAATTTCATTTTGACCCTCCTCTGACCTCATTATTTCTTGGTAGAATTCCTAACATACAGTTAATGAGTGAAAGAAAACAGTAGACAGAAGGGAGAAGGCAAAAGTAGAGGCTGTGATAAGTGTGTGCATGGATTTTTTTTTCATTTTAAAGAGTTCAGAAAGACTTTATTTGTCAAAATAAAGTAGAAATGTCTATTCCAATAGCTTTATAACTTTTTAAATTGGAATATTTGTCTTTTTATTATTAAGATGTAAGAGTTCCTTATATTCTAGATGCCAGTCCCTTATCAAGTATATAATTTGCAAATATATTTCCACATTCTATGGGCTGTCTTTTTCCTTTCTTGATATGGCCTTTGAAGCATGGTTTTTATTTGGATAAACTGCAATTTGTTTATTTTTTTTCTTTGTGTGTGTGTGTATTTTTAGTATATCTAAAAATCATTACCTAATTCAAAGTCATGAAGACTCATGACTGCATTTTCTTTTAGAGTTTCATGCTTTTAGCTTTAAAATCTAGGACCTTGACACATTTTGCACTAAATTTTATATATGGTGTGCCACATGGGTCCTACTTTATTCTTTTACATGTGGGTATCTAATTGTCCCATCACCTTTTGTTGATATGTGGTTTTATTTCTGGACTCTCAATTCCTTTCCATTGATCAGTTTGTCTATCCTTATGTCACCACCATGCTACCTTTTTAAAAAAATATATTTTATTTTTAAGTAATCTCTATACCCAACTTGGGGCTTGAACTTACAACCCTGAGATCAAGAGTTGTATGTTCTACCAACTAAGCCAGCTAGGTGCCCCTACCATATTATCTTGATTAATGTAGCTCTGTAGTAAGCCTTGAAATCAGGACATGTGAGACTTCCAACTTTGTCCTTTTTCTGGATCTCTTTCATTTTCATATTAATTTTAGAATGAGCTTATCAATTTCTATACAAAGGGCAACTGGGATTTTGATAGGGATTACATTAAATTGTAGATCAATTTGGGAAATATTACAACCTTAAAAATAATTAACTCTTCCAATCCATGAACACAGTCCTTCTAACTGTTTATGTGTTTAATTTCTTCCAAAACTATTTTATAGTTTTTAGTAAACAAGTAATATTGCCAACCCATGGAATTTGTTTATTTATTATTTGATATAGAAATAAAACACTGAGATATTTTGTCAATTCTTTACTAAGGA